TTGAGAAACTTCGAATAAAGGCCATTTAGTTATATCTGGAATGATGTAAAAACGAGCGTTCTTGCTCATTTTGCTTCCGAGAAACATGCAAAACGGGACAAAAAACATGAAATTTTGCAATAATCTTGCGCCACCGTTGCACAAAACGACGATCAGTTTTCTAATTTCATAGATAACCAAAGACTGTATTTTTTCTACATAACTCCCCCACCCCCCTACTTTAAAGCTGGACCCCCCCTGTCTGGAACTAACGTTACATTATCATCATTCAAACTTGAGCAACTAACGTAATATTTTAAAAATATTCTCATTGGTGTTAATGTTTAATTTATTTACTTGCAAAAATTTATTGTCCAAACAACTTATCAGTAAAATACAAATAAAAGCTTCCATTTAAATGCCTAATAAATATGGGAACAAGAACTTTTGTCACAACTAAACTGCATTCAAAGTACAAGAATTCCCATCTCTACGTTTAAGGATCTTCGAGTTTTTCCCATCAAATCCACTCGAACCTCACTGATTTCCAAGGTAGGCAAATTCCTAGATATCAGTGGCATTAATTATTAACGCCCTAATAAAACTGCCCGTCTCCCACATAACCAACTTAAATTGGTCTGAACTAAACTCCGAAATCCAATTATGATTTCAAACTGGAGCTGTTTGATATTTCCAGTTGGTCGTTTCCGGTTAACCGAGGTATCCATGTCCATTAACTCCGGTCAACCCGAAATGGCCCGGACCTAATAATTTAGTCAAAGTTCGGATTGCATTCCGACAAACTAACTGGGTTTCTTAACTTTAATCACTACCAGTGGTGTAGATGAACGCACGGTTAAATCTAGCGGCAGTTTGCTTTCTAGGCTGAGAAATCCATCAACCTTTCAAGGAATTTGTAAATGTTTCATGTCAACTAAGGGTCCCCGAATGTTGTTTCCATCATTTAAAAACAATTTATTAAAGGGTATTGACGTGGAGTTGTCTCGGGATACGCTCCTGAAGCTACACAATGTACAACTTACAACTTAACATATTAATTTAGCAGAAATCTGAACGGGCAGAACGTCTAAAGGGCTTGAGGTTTGGCTTTGCCCTTAGTGGATGTGCCATTTGTTAAATTCGATAATCTTGTGATGTGATAAAGTGGCTCAAAGTGACTCACTTCCTTAAAGTTGTTTTAGGATTATCCCTGTTTGACTTTCTTAGAAATTCTCGGGATGAATAGACATTTTCTGGGTTATTTGATAACGCTCACCTACTTACCCAGATTTCTGATAACTCATTGTTTCCACATTGCATTTTTGTGGACATCTATCATCAAACTACTTGAAACTTTCAGTAAACACTAGCACTAGGCAAATAAAATGTTCCCAGTTTTGCAATGTTAATGTTTTCTAGTTCACTGAGAAATTAGGATTTAACCGGTTGTTTGAATTGGGGCGCTGATTCACACACATCAGAAGGCATTAAGGGACAAAGTTCAGTGAAAAACGATACTGTTAAACCATTCAGCCACTTGAAATTGGCATTTTTCTCTTAGTGTCGATGGGATATTCAAGGTGCCCAGCAAATAAAAGCAACAGTAGGACTCAATACGTAGAAGAAGCCCTGCTGAAACACCTAACGACATAACCTTTTGAAGGTATTTGACTTTGCATCTTGCCTAGAGAATTCTGAGAAGCCCATTCAGATACGAGTTCTTTCTCACCAAACGATTCACCAAAACCCTTCTTCTGGTGTTATTTTTAGATTCCGGCCTCAGCGTTACCTTTCTTCTTTCACGTGCAATATTGCACATTTCTTCTCATTTATCTCAGATGTTGCGTTTAAATTCCTAAAATTACTGGAACAAAATTTTTTTAATTTATCGAAAATAGAACTATAAAGTGCTTGGGCAAAGCTCAAAGATGTGAGTTCGGGATTAATTTGCAAAAACAACCAAAAACCCAATTTTACACTCTTCAACTTCCAAGTCTTGTATTTTGGTAATTTTGATTCACGTCCTTAAAATTCCCTGATAAAACTCCCTTGTTGGAGACATTTTTTGATCATATATTTTTGCGTCTTCACTTTGCTACCGGCGGGTTGAAAAAAACATTCAATAACTTCTAGAATCGCTTTATGAAAATGCCTCTTGCGAAGCATTCCAATTTTAAAGCGGTTTTCCTTTTTAATTTAAGTGTATAATTAAGTCAGTTAAGGCACATATATTTTCCTATATCTGCAAAATTTGTTCGCAAATACACTTTCACAATTTTTTTAATTTCTGGTCTTTTTAATATACTTTTTGACATTAAAAACATCGCTTGAGAAAAGCGTGGATTATGATCGATTTTAACTTGGTATTTTGAAAATTGCCCACAGGAAAAGATTGGCTGTTCATTCACATAAATTTATTCATACCTACCTGCATTGACAAAAAAATTAAATTTATTTTGAATTGCGGTTTACTTCAACGTTCAGGTATCGTTCTGTTGTTATTCATTTTTGTGCTTTCAGCTACGATTTTTCATTTAGCTCATTTTTTCGCTGTTTTCTGAATATTTACTAGGTTTGACTTAAAATGTTTCAGTAAACCTGATTTACAAACACTTGTTTTTCAATACAAATGTAAAATGCATATTTCAATTAGCAATTAGTTCTATTTTTCAATTCACTCTTAAGGAAAACTTCCAAACCGAACTAAGCCTAAAATTTGCAAAAATCAGCATGTTTTCAATTCTTTTTGAAATTAGTTTTTTCAAATTTCCTGTTATTACAGCCCTGCCCATTGAAGTAGTCTTTCTAGGTCAAAATATGTATAAATACTAGGTAAACAATGGGGGGAAAATATATAAATCAAAGCGAGTCTGTATGAGCAATATTCACTAAACAATTCTTCATGAACGGTTTATACTTACTGAAAAACCAAAATGTCCTTTGGAATTTTAATTTTATTGCTTTGTGGGGCTGCTAGCAGTTTGCTAAGTTCCAGTTTTGACTCTGAATGGGAGCAATTCAAGGTAAGGATTTAAGCACTTTTAAAAACTAATCATTATTAAGTCTTTCGACGAATTTAAAAAACTAATTGCTGTGGCCAAAAATTTATATTCCCATTCTTTACTTTTAAAGACTTTGCACAAGACATCCTACCAAAACAACTCACACGAAATGACCCGAAGGGAAATTTTCGAAGTAAACCTCCAAAGAATTCATCAGCACAACGTCCTCTATGAACAAGGAATGAAGAGCTACAAGCTGGGAGTTAATCCTTTTGCGGATATGACTTCTGAAGAGTTCAAGAACTTCTTGACCTTGAAGCAGAGCTCCGCAGAAGAAAGATCAGCCAGAAGTTTATTCCTCGTAACACCAACAACAACTGAAGTGGAAACATCTCCTATGCTGTGGCATTTTGCAGGTTCCTAGAAACAAATCGGCAATTCCCCCAAGGGTTGATTGGCGGCGGAAAGGAGCAGTTACTCCAGTGAAACAGCAAGGAAGCTGCGGATCTTGCTGGGCATTTTCAGTGGTAGGCTTGATTGAATAAACTTCGCCCTGTGATCTATTTGGTTGTTTGCAGACAGGAAGCTTGGAAGGGCAATATTTCCTCAAACATGGAACTCTCCTTTCTTTCAGCGAACAGCAGCTGATCGATTGCGCCAGTGAAGAATATGGCGCTTATGGTTGTAGTGGAGGGACTTTGGATGCGGGCTTTGGGTACATCAGGTATACATGTTTCTTTGGCGGAAAGCTTCAAGCCTTAAACTCCATTTGGGTTAAAGAGACCAAGGGATCGAAGCTGAGGCAACTTACCCCTATAGAATGAGTGAGGATGTGTGCCAAGCCAATGAGACTCTTACTGAAGTCCGAATCCAGAGTTTTGTGAACATCGAAGAAAACAATGAAGACGCCTTGTTGGCAGCAGTAGGCCTTATTGGTACGTAAACAATCTCAAGGGATTTGGTTTCTTGGAGGAACTTTTCAGGTCCGGTTTCTGTTGCTTTCGATGCCTCTCAATTCGACATGCAATTCTACAAGGAGGGAATCTACGAAAGTTCGACCTGCAGTCAAACTGAACTGAACCACGGTGTTCTGATCGTGGGTTATGGCTCTTTAAATGGCACTGACTACTGGATTATTAAAAATTCTTGGGGACTTCACTTCGGCATCGAAGGCTACATGCTAATGAAGCGGGGCGTCAATCAGTGCGGCGTAGCTTTGGATCCGAGCTACCCTGTTTTGTAACATTTAAATTTATGTTTAATAGGTATGGAATAAAACAGAGTTTTTCTACCACTAGTCTCAAGCGGTGTACTTTTTGCTGCTGTTGGCAGGCTTCCGCTAGATAACCGGTTGTCTTGATGCGACCCAGCCAGATAATCGTCGCATACAATCAGCCGACTTGTCTAAATCCGTTCTGTAACGATTATCGGCTCGTTTGGCTTCATTCCTGCGGCTTTGCTACCTCTCATTACTGTTAAACCGGGTGCAAACGGTAACTATTATGGTTACGGGCGTCGCGACGCGTCGTGGGCAGTTATCGCGCCCTTTTGGGACCGGCGTCGCCGCACGTGGCGCTAGGGGGGCGTTCTTTGGACGCCGCCCAGCACCCAACAGGACTGGTCAAATTTCACAATCTGTGATTTTCCCATACTTGAAATATTTCATCACATAAATTCGGCGTTTTGATGAATCGACACTAAGATATGTTGATGAGTATCTACGATCTACGGAATAAAGTTTTATTTTCGTATTTCCCAATAAACTGAACATTTGTTGGAAAAATTTGAGCATGGTAAACAGCGATAGAGTAAGGGAAGTTTACGTTTAACCGGTTGTATATTTGTTCAAAAATTATCGTCATATTGTAAACGTACTAAGCGTACATCTTTTATAAATGCTTCTACCGTACATTTTTCCTTAGAAAAGTATCAGTGCAGACAACAATTTTTTTCTAATGGAACATAGTAAATTTTATTTTAGTTTGAAATTCTTATGTAAAATTCCATTACTTCTCGTTATAAAAAGTACGTAAGAACATTAAATAGTGTTTTAGTTATTCATTTCCCTTTAGCGATAAAAATTTAAAAAAAAGTGTAAAATAGTTCTCCGGCGTCTTCAGACACAAACTTTTGAAATTTGGCGGAAACAAATACTTTATGAGGCTATGAAATGCGAAGAGGGTTAAGCGCAAAATTCAACAAAAGAAAAAAATTGCCTTTAGAATTTTGGATCATTTCATACTCTAGTAACATTCTTAAAATTGTATATACTTTCCTGACTGTGTTTCAATTCCAAATCAAAAATTAATTCCTGGATTTCAGTCATTTATTGTCTTTATTTATCAATTAAAATACGTTTCGGTGTATTTTTCCACCATCATCAGTTTTTCTAAAATAACAGATAGTTAAAAAAAAATTTCATTAATTTAAAAAACAATCACAGTTCGTCAACAGCCTCATCATATCACACATTAAAATACATCACAATTGCAACACTTTAAAACATTCTAAAATTAATTAGGCCTAACAGGTGATTAATCAGGACAATCAAATTTGGGAAGAGACTAGAATTCTTTGTTCAGATACTTAAATATTTTTACTTACATGTGCATTTTGTCCATTTTGGACACAAAGCGAATAAAATTCTGTTTATATTGATTTCTTTTACTTTCAGCTAGTTTTCTTTGCGTTCTGAGAATATTATTTTTGGTTTGCAAAATTCTTCAATATACCGAGTGCTAGTTAATATTCTATGTTTATTTCATTTAATTAATGTATGATATACTGAGCTAAGATTGTCGGTATCCGATCTGAAATTCATATCATTGTTATGTTTTTTAATCTGTATCATGGATATATTGAAGGTATATTGAAGAATTTTGCAAACCAAAAATAATATTCTCAGAATGCAAAGAAAAATAGCTGAAAGTAAAAGAAATCAATATATAACAAAAAGCTTAACAAAACTTCAAAAATGGCATCACAATTCGTAGTTTAAAATATTGAATCGTTTTTCACAGTTCTTCGTTAAATCCACATTTTTGCGTGAAATTAATTAGTTTGATTGATCCCAAATGTGCGCTATTTATTAAATATTTGCCGAAATTATTTCATTTTCGTTTGCAACTGCTGAACGCTCTTCAGTGGCTATTAATCAATTTTGAAGATATCGGGCTCTCTTTGAAAATACACAATGAGGCCCGAAATTAAATTAAACTTGGTTTGATAAAAATTGATTATTAGCCACCAATTACAGATCCTGCACAATGTAAATCTCTATGTGCAATTATTGCACTCGTGCCACAAGAATGGACAAATGGTTACTGAGGGACACTAAACCTAACCACTAATTTGTTATTGTTGAACATGTTTCTCATTAGAATATATTAGTCCCATCTACGGAAGCATTATTTTAAGTTAAAGCCTTCATTGGATGGTTTGCATTTTATTATTAAAGTTGGTTTTATCATCAGTTATCTAGTCATTTGGCGGAAATTTGCTTAAGTAATGAAAAATGAAAAATTTGAAAAAAGCAAACACTAAAATATTTCTTTAAAAAACTGAAGGTGATTAATCCAGGATTGATAGGACAGGAGTCACTATATTTAGTCGATCGGTGGTGATTGTATAATATGCACCTTTTATTTAATATGAATTTCACCGTTTGTAAGACAGTTGTGTAAAATATCTATAAAGCAGAAGTAAGTTTCTCTTGAACGGAACGGGAAAAAATATCACAGAACAGTTTATAAGCAAACGTTTAAAAAGTCGTGCGTAGCAGTAAAAAAATAAATAGTCAAAACTTGATCTTAAAAATACATTTCCGATATGTTGACCAAATCCATGGACCATTTTGGATGATTGCGCAAATTTTATGATGCCATAGCGTGTTCCTGCGAGTGAAATAAATAATCTTCGGACACATTCTAAGGCAATAAATAAACGCCAATTGGTTTACGTGTACGTTTCGAATGGACAAGTGCAGCCTAATCGTAATTCGTCCTGTGGGATGGTAGATGCATGCTGAGCTATAATAACTCTCCAGTTGCATATATTCTCTAACTGGCTCTAGGGCGATCGTTCTATTGTGTTGGTCGAAGGGCGATTGCATCGTGTCACTTTGCAACATTATGTTGAGTTAAAATTACCGCTCAATGTTCCAGAACATTGAAAAGCGGTTTTTAACTTTGCGAAAAATATTGAATCCAGCTCCAAAATTTGTACTACAAAGCCACCCACTTGTAGCACAGATAAAAAAAGCTGTGCCTTGCGTGGTAGATTTTCCCTGCTACCCCGCCCGTTTCTTTGCGCGTCATAGCAGTTGAGATAAGCAATTTTCTCGGCTCGTGATTGGGGATTTTCCCAGGGGATGGAAAACTCCATCTACAAATGAACAGCCGTGACAAGCTCTATAATTCGTCCACCGCTGGAAAAATCGCGAGAAAAACTCGACCGGCCGCCCGGAAAATCTCTGCTCTAATTCGGATTTATAACGCATGAGAAAGCTGGGAAACTGTCGAGCGGAGCGGGTTAAATTTCATGTCGATTTTCCAATGAATCTTTTATTTAGCAGGACTGTTTTTAATTTCTCATAGGTTTTGATGAAATTTGCTAAAAGCAAGCTTCGGCTAGTCGTTTGTCAAACTCCATATAAAAACTAAAAACGTGTATTCAATATTTAAGACCGAAATAAATTTCTTTATACAAAACTGTAATTTTTGGACAAAACCTCGAAATTACGACGATTGTGAAAGTTAGCCGACGCTTTCAGAACTTTTTATTTGGTACCTGAAATTAACTGATTTTTTCGAGTTGATGCACTAGTCTTCGCTTGACATTTTTGTTCTCTTAGAAAAATCTAATCTGTAGCATTAATAGTTTTTGCACAAAAGTATATTCCAGTTCTTTTGCCAACTGACAATATATAATTAAAAAATAATATTAGATTTTTTTAACTTCTAACATTAAAAACCTTTTACGTCTTCTTACATAAAAAAAATTAGTTTTATTTTTTTCGATTCAATAGTCGCCCCATATGAAAAAAAGACAAGATAGATTTTTCGTCGCCAATGGCCAAAACTGATTTTCAATTTGAAATATCTCAGTGAAACTTTTTTCCTTATTTTTTTTCTTAAAATTGGGTCCTTGATTACCCAAGCCAATGCGGATCATAAAATTCTTGCACAGTGACCTGAAACCCACCAAATTTAATTTCCAATTCCATTTTTAACATTTTATATCTCGGAAAAGGAATACAAATCATAATTTTTTCTTGCAGCGAATTACCCCCTGAAATTTTTTCAACTTACTTACAAACACCCTGTATTTTTCTAAAATATTCTTTCAGATCCTTCTTCAATTGATCGACAACGCCCACAGCTTTGAAAAAATGCGAAGCAATTAGCTTCTAAATTGAATCTGGAATTCAAAATTTGTAAAAAAATGAGCGGTTAGTGGTATATCACAAACTTCCGAAAAAGAATCACGGACGGAACGTACGGAATCTGAACTACAAATTTTAATAAATGTTTGCCTAAACCACTGGCACCACCTGGAAAAGACTATAAAAAATCCCAAACTTTGACACACTGTAGCTCAAATTTAAAGGGTTTAGGGATATTTGGGTATACGACCAACTTCATATAAAATAAGGCGTTAAATATTGATTTAAAAAAAACTATTTAATCGTTTTCTGACCACTTAAGGGACACTGTCCTTGATTATTTGCTCCTCTGCTTCTTTTGCTCATTCCTGTAGCTTTCAATTGCTGCCAAACTTGTTCTTAGCAGCCAACATATGGATATTTAGAATCTTAACTAGCGATTTTTGCAAAGGGACTAGAAGCAGGTTGAACCTAAGCTGGGATGGAAATTTATTTCTAATTTGCCTGAGATCATAAAAAATATTTTTGTGCCTCATCATCAAATCTGTAGAACATTTCAACTGAAAAACCGATTAAGCCCAAAACACAACTAACGCAAAATTAAAAAACATTTTTTCAGTGGAACCAAATTTTTGGTACATGTAAGTAAAACCGAAACTGTTGAAAATTAATTGACATTTTTTCAATTCGATTTGAGAGGCTCGATTTGTTGTCGGTGGAATTTCTCAGGTAAAAAGCATATCGGGATATCAAGGAGAAAAAAACGACGCACGCCAAAAACGAAACAATCACTTAGTGTCTTTATTTAGTGAGACCGAACGGTAACGAAAACCGGGCAAAATGCCTGAAACACCTGCCATATACTCATTTTTCTTCCTCTTTTTTTTTGGCCGATTCCGTTTATTGCGGCCGAC